GCAGCGAGAGGAGCAGGGGCTTCAGCGGGACCGGCTTCAGGTCGCCGACCGCCACCGGGCACGCGGCGAGCCGCTGCAGCTCGCAGCCGCCGAGCTCGCCGCAGCGCTCCGCCAGGGGCGGCGGGTCGCGGCTGGCGTACTCCCAGCCCTCGGGAGGCCGCACCTCGACGCAGAGGCTGGCCAGGAGGCAGGAGCTGCCTGGGCCGTCGCCGAAGTCGGAGGCGGCGGCCACGAAGTGCGGCCCCGCGCTGGTGCCGTCGAGCTCCAGCTCGGGAACTCGCGCCCCAGGGCAGCGCAGCACGCCGCAGAAGGGCTCCGCCTCGTCGGGCACGTGCTGCCCGTCCGCTGCCAGGAACACGGAGCCGGCCGCGGCCGCCAGCTCCTCCCTGTCGGCGCTCTCGGCGGCGTCAGCCTCCTCGCTGTCCTCGGGCAGCACCCAGTAGACCCACAGGGGGCAGAGGGCCTCCACGCGGACGTCGCCGGAAGGCTCGAGGGGGCCGTACTTGACGAACGGCTGCTGCCCAAGAAACTGGGGCGGCACCCCCGTGACGGTGACCTGCCCCTCGCCGCCGCGCCGGTTGCGCTGGAACTCCGCCCGCCCGTCCGCGCCGAAGGCGGCCGGTGCCATGCCCCCCATCGAGCACACGGCGCCCTCGAAGCCCTGCCCGCAGCAGCGGGTGCGCAGGGAGACGCACAGGGGCGGGATCTCCATGGGCCTCACGTCCCCGATCGCCAGCGGGCTCGCCACCAGGCGCTGGAGCTCACAGCCGCCGAGCTCGGCGCACCGCTCCATCAGCGGCGACGGGGTGCGCGGCAGGTACTCGAAGAGCTCGGGCGGGTCGACGCGCACCTCCACACGCGCCAGTGAGCAGTCGTCACTCTGGGCGGTGCCGACGCCGGCAACTCGCAGCATGTAGGGGCCCAGCGAAGCGCCGTCGAGCCGGACGGCGGCGTCCTCCTCCACCGTGGGGCAGAGCAGCTCGCCCGCCACGGGGAGGGCGCCCTCTGGGATCTGGCTCTCGTCCGCGACCACGAAGAGGGGGCCACCCGCAGGCGTGGCCTCGCCGTCGATGCCGGCGGCCTCCTCGCCTCTGGATGCCTCCCGGGGTGTGGGAACCCAGTAGACCCACAGCGGGCAGCCCAACACCACCTCCACCTCGTCCGGCTCCGAGTCGCCAATCGGCACGGCCCAGGCGGTCTTGCGCCCAGGCAGCAGCCAGTCCGGCAGGCCTCCAGTGACCTGGATCTCGAGCTCGCTGTCGCTGTACGTCTTGCGCTGCCTCGGGAACCTACGAGAACGCCGCCCGTGCACCGCACCATGTTTCGACTCCCTTCAGGCCCCGCCCTGACGCGGTACGGTGCATAGCTGTTTGGCCCTCGGGGGCAGAAAACTATGCACTAGGCACCGCAGTCGAGGATCGACGACGCCTCGGGAGACGCCAACGCGGCACGGTGCACACGGGTCGTCCGCGGGGAGCCTGTGGGTGCCCGCCCTGTCCCGGTCCTCCTCCGCGACCCGGCCGCCGACGGACACGCACGCGCCGCGGAAGCCCCTGCCGCAGCAGCCCGCCACGAGCGAGAGGGACAGCGGCGGCGGGGGCGGCAGGGGCTTGAAGGCCGCCACGGCCAGCGGGCAGGCCAGAAGCCTCTGCAGCTCGCAGCCACCCAGCTCCAGGCACCGCTCGCGCAGCGGCGACGGGCTCTTCCTGTGGAAGCTGTCGCCGTCGTCGTCGTCGTCGTCGTCGTCGTCGTCGTCGTCGTCGTCGTCGTCGTCGTCGTTGTCGTCGTCGTCGTCGTCGTCGTCGTCGTCTCCTCCCTGCTCCCTCCTCCCTCCTCCCTCCTTCCTCCCCCCTCCTCCCTCCTCTTTCCTCCCTCCTCCCTCCTCCCTTCCTGTGGAAGCTGAAGCCCTCCGGCGCCCGCGCGTGAATCTCGAGCTTCGCCACCAGGCACAGCGAGCTCAGCTGGTGATCCTGTGAGGGGGTACGGTACAGGAGGGGGGGGCTCCGATCTGGCATCGGCGCCACATCGTCGACGGAGGGCCCTGGATGTAGCAGGACCGCACGCTGCTGGGCTGGATGGGAGGGCCCAGGCTCCGATTGGCGATGAGTGGGCGACGGGGGGTCGATGCTCTCTCCCCTGGGGCCCACATTCCCTCTCTGGTGCCTATCGTTGCCCCTCGTCCTCGTTGGCCTCCTTGCTCGCCGCCTCGCGGCGGAACCTCGTTAGGGCAAACGCTGCGGTGGACGTTCGCTGTATGCGTCGCGGTGATCTTGAGCTCGTCGAGCCCCCAGGCCCCCCAGGCGACGCGGGCCCGCGCGCGAGGCTCATGCGGCCGGTTCCGCGCGGCGTGGCGCGGGGCGTGGCCTGCGGCGTAGCGTCGATCGCATCTCCGCCGGCCCCTTCCAGGCCGAAGCCGAGGTTGTTCTTGGAGATCGACCTCTAAGAAGGGAGCCCCACAAGGACGTAATTACGCGCCCAACCACGTACATGAACACGGCCACCCAGTCCGCGAGACCAGCCGCGTGATACGAACGTTCGCGCAATGCGTACTCTCGAAACCAACGTGGGTTCATGTATGTGTACGTCCTTCTTTCGCTCCTGAGACCGCATCTCCGCCAGCGTGCTCGAGAAGGTCGACACTGGGAGCGGGGCCCTCCGCACCAGGAAGGGCCCGACAGACGTGCCGTCCAGCTCTATCTCCTCCACGCCGCGGCAGCCCAGCGAGCCCCTCACGGGGAGTGCCTCCTCGGGCACCTGGCTGCTGTCCGAGGCCAAGAAGATCATGCCATCCGCGTCTAGGTTCACCTGAGCCACGATCAGAAACGGGCCTCGCGCGAGGTGGCGTCGCGACCTCACGCCGCGACTTGCGCGGGCCGCCCGCGCGGCACGCCAGAGTGGAAGCGAGGGCGCTCTCGCGCGACCTTGCGCGGCCAGCTCGCGCGCCGATACCGGCCGGCGCAGACAACCCCGTTTTCTTGCGTCGGTCACCTCGTCTGCGCTCCCCGCCTCCGGGGGCACCCAGTAGACCCACAGCGGGCAGACCAGGTCCAGCCTCATCACCTGGGGCCCCAGGGCCTTGTAGGGCAGCAGCGAAGGCACCTCGGCCAGGAGCTGCGCGGGCACGCCCTCCACCTGGACCTCGAGGTGTCCGCCGTGGCGCCGCCGGCGCAGCTTCACGTGGCCCTCCTGCTCGAAATCCGCGGTGTCGCGCCCGTTAATCGTGAGCTTCGCGCCTGGGAAGCCGCAGCCGCAGCAGCTCGTTGCCATCCTCAGCTCTAGCGGCGGCAGCGCTGTCGGCCTCAGGTCGCCCACCACGACGGGGCACCCTGCCAAGCGCTGCAGCTCACAACCGCTCAGTTCCCGGCACCGCTCTGCCAGGGGCGGGGGATCGCGCTCCTCGTATCTGAACATTGGGGGGGCCTGTCCGTCCTTCATCTGGATGCTGAGCCTGGCCAGCAGACACCCTGGAGAGGAGGCATCGCCGTCCTGGGCAGAGACCGCGCTGTGGTGCAGGTAGTAAGGCCCCACACTGTCGCCGAGCAGCTCCCGACCGTGCTCCTCCGCGCCGGGGCAGCTCAGGTGGCCTCTGACGGGCTGCGCGTCCTCAGGGACCTGGTCCGGCGAGGCGGCCACGAAGACGAGGCCTCCCTCGGGCTCGCACTCCAGGTCGAACTCGGCGCCCTCTGGCTCTGAGTCGGGCGCGAGCCAGTAGACCCAGACGGGGCACGCCGTCTGCAAGACCACGGCGCTGGGCGCGTGGGCGGTGTACGACGCCACCATCTCCAGGTTCCCGTCCGGCATCATGTGCGCGGGCACACCCTGGACGCGCACGCGAGCCGTGCCTCCGTGTCTCCTGCGCCGGAGCTGCAGGGGCCCCTCGGCGGCCGGCACCGCGCAGCGGCCGTTCACCGACAGCGCCGCCCCCTCCCAGGCGGCGCCACAGCACACGGTGCGCAGGGAGATCGGCAGGCGCGGCACCGCCGTGGGGCGCAGGCGCGCGACCGCGACGGGAGCCTCGAGTAGCCTCTGCAGCTCGCAGCCGCCGAGCTCCTCGCACCTGGACGCCAGGGGCGAGGGCTCTAGCGGGTGGCACGAGAACAGCTCCGGCGCACTCACGCGGACGCTGAGCTGCGAGAGCAGGCAGGGCGGAGCTTCGGCGCCCAGCGCGTTCTCGGGGCGGCCCGGCAGGGCGCTGGTGCGGGGCTCCACGGGGTAGGGGCCGAGCGCCTTCCCGTTCAGCACGAGCCGGTGCACGGCTGCCCCAGGGCACTCCAGGACGCCCTGCACCGCACGGGCTTCCTCTGGCACGTGCTCCTTCTTGACCGCGACGAAGACGGAGCCGTGGGGCTCGGAGGGGGGGTCCCCCTCCGAGTCCGAGTCGCAATCCCGGAACTCAACCCAATAGATCCAGAGCCTGCACACGAGGCCCACCTCCAGCACCTCGGGCTGCGCAGGGCCGTAAGGCACGTGGAAGACCCCGTCTGGCCTCGCGGCCGCGTCGGTCTCCAGGAGGTTCAGCGGTGCTCCGCTGATGTGCACCGCGAGGTGTCCGTTCCTTAAGGGGATCGGCAACGACATGACCATCATGTTTTGGAGCTCCGCGCGGTGTTCTTGGACCGGCGGCGCTGGACCCCCCCCACTGCGCGCGGAGCGCGCAAGGGGCAGCGCTGGAGGCGCCGCCAGGGGGTCCAGTGCCGATCCAAGAAATTCGCGCGGACCTCTAGAAGTTTATGTTCATAGCGATTTATCTCGCTTCCACTTCCTGACCCTGCGCTTGCGGCGCTGGTGAGGCACCAAGTGGCACCCGCTGGCATCGGGTAGCGCCACTGGGAACCCATCGACCGCCACCTGCGCAGCCGCGAGCCCTCGGGCACAGCAACGGGAGCGGACCGCGATCCGCAGCGGGAACGGCGGCGCCAGCGGTCGCAACACGCCGATGGCCGCGGGGCACTTGGCGAGCCTGTCCAGCTCGCACCCCCCAAGGTCCCTCACCCTCTCCTCTCAGCCGCACGCGAGAATGACCCTAGGCAGGAGTGGCCTTTGGTGCGCGGTTTTGGGGAGGCACGAGGGGACCAAACACAAGCACGCAAGCCGCTGCTATCGCATGGCGTTCAGCGATCTGGGGGGCCCAAGGGGCCAGCAGCAAAGGGCTTCTCCACCTTGGCCTGGCGAACTGTTTTTTTTCCCCGGCGAACTGGGTTTTTTTCCTGGTGCATCGCTAGGACAGAATCAAGTTCGGCGAGTTGTGCATAAGAAACTTCGTGCGTCGGTTTCGCAACCTTCCACGATCGGCTTCGCATCCCGCAGTCGGGATTCGCAAACAATCAACGGGACAGAAAAAACAACAACGGCGGAACGTTTACATTTGTGTACATATAGTATCCAGATAGGTTTACCCTATACGAGTCCTAGTTAATCATAAGCAATTGGTCTTCAGGAATGCCCTTTTCCAATGGCACGCGCTTTTTCCAATTGCCCCCTTTTTCCAATGGCGTTTGCTTGCTTGCTCTTGCGTGCTTGCTATCGCTCGTTTGCTCTTGCCTGTCACTGCTTGCTTGCACTTGATCGCTGGCTTTCGCTTGCTTGTGATTGCTCACTTGCGGTTGCTTGCTTCCGCTTGCTTGCTAGCGCTTGCTTTAATTTAGTTCCTCCCGTTCTCCTCCCGTCCTGCTCCCGTCCTCTTTCCGTCCTCCTCCCATCCTCCTCTCGTCATCCTCCTGTCCTCCTATATATTTGGAGTCAACGCTGGCTGTTATATATATATATATATGCATACATATATATATATAAATATGTGTATATATATACATATATACATATAGAGATGCATATACATATTACTATGTATACACATATGTGTATGCATACATACACGCGTTCATATATACACAGATGCAAGCACACGAACTGTCACGCAATTGTCTACGTATTTGCGAACATTTGCGAGTCAGCGCAAACCCTACCAATGCGTTTTAACATATTATGTGGTGCAGTGTATGTGGTGCAAGTAATTTATGTTCGCAATGAGCTGTCCACTCCACTGCTCGCGCAAACATCCCACCCACCCACCCGCAACTTGGTTTGCAAACCCCATGCGGCGGCGATTGCGATGAGTGCTTGGCGCTGGCTGGTGCACTTTGCGGCCGCGCTAGCGCCCATGCTCGCGCGCAGAGCGGCCGGCTAGTATGGCGCGACCGACGCGGCCGCGGTGGCGCTGATTGCTGGGCACTTCCCAGCGGGCACTTCAGTGCGAATCGGCAAAGTGGGCGGGCGCGGTATCATGGCAACGTCGACTCTTGTAGACGCGACGATAATGACAGTAACGATGTTGGTGGCGATGCTGACAACGACGACGGCACGGGCAGTGACGGCGCCGATGCCAATCACTCCGACGACGATGACGGCGTCTTCGCATCGGTGATGAAAGTTTTGGATGGAATTCGAAATGCGCGCGGCAGTCGCGCGAGAGTGGCTCGCATGGTGTTATTTGACACGGACCGTGCCACCTCAGCACGCGCGCAAGGGCGCTCGAACGATTTCGAAATTCGCGCGCTCGAAGCCCGCTTGGTAGCATTTTATGAAATGTTCTAAAACGCATGGTTTTCTTAAGAACTCTCAAGAGCGTGCGCGCACGCTTTTGTTGAACATCAGTGTTGCGAAGACATGTGAATTTGTATGTTTTCGGACACTCGATTTTGAGATCCTTCCGAAACCGACGGTTTTGGAAGGATTTCGGCATGCGCGCGCGACGACACGCGCGTGTGTACTTCGTCACATGTTTTGCAAGGAATTTTTGGAAACTTGTGATTTTTGATAAACGAATGCGCGCATAGTACTTCTTGCAGAGGATGGCCGGGGGGGGGGTCGATACCGGCTGGCCTGGGATGGTACGGATCCATTTGGAAAATGATCGAAGGGTCACGATCATATATGAATTTCCATTCGAAACGCGTGGAGGACAACCACGGGGGGATGATGGGGGTAGAATCTTATTCCTTATGAAAGATGAGAATTCGCCCTACCGAACTTGAAGTGGTCAACTCCACTGCTCGCGCAATCATACCATCAACACACCCGCAACATGGTCTGCAAAACCCATGCGGCGGCGGCGGCGATTGCGATGACTTCTCGGCGCTGGCTGGCGCATCGCTGCGGCCGCGCTGGCGCCCATGCTCGCGCGCAGAGCGGAGGGCTAAGATGGCGCGACCGACGCGGCCTCGGTGGCGCTGACATGCGAGGCGGCGACTTGGGTGGGCGCGGTATCATGGCGACGTCGACAACGGTAGACGCGATGATGGTAGTAGCGATGCTGGTGACAATGCTAACAGCGACGACGGCGCGGCCAGTGACGGCACCGATGCAGACCGAACCGACGACGATGACGGCGTCTTCGCGTCGGCGATAAGATTTTGGAAGGAGTTCGACATGCGCGCACGGCCGACATGCGCGCATCTCCAATTCCTTCCGTTCTCCTCCCGTCCTGCTCCCGTCGTCCTTTCCTCCTCCTCCCATCCTCCTCTCGTCCTTCTCATGTCCTCCTATCTATTTGGAGTCAACGCTGGCTGATATACATATATATATATGTGTGTACATGTATCTATACATATATATATATATGTATATGTATCTGCAGTTGTATATGCATGTGTATATGTTTTTGTGTATGTATATGTATATGAATATGTATGTGCATATGTATAGGTATATGTATATGCATATACATATGTATATGCATATGCATATGTATATGTATATGTATATGTATATGTATCTGTATAGGTATATGTTTATGTAAATGTATATGTATATGTATACGTATATGCATATGCAAAAGCATATGCATATGTATATGTATATGTATATGTATATGTTTATGCATATGTATATGTATATACATGCGTAGATGTATATGTATACGTATATGTATATGTATATGTATATGTATGTGTATGTGTATGTGTATATGTGCATGTATATGTATATGTATATGTGTATGTATATGTAAATGTATATGTTTATATATATATATATATATATGGATACTGATATGCATATGTATATGTATATGTATATGTATATGTATATGTATATGCATGTGTATATGTATATGTATATGTATATGTATATGCATATGTGTATGCATATGTATGTGTTCATATGTGTGTATACATACATGTATGTACATCACTATGTATACACATACATGTATGTAAACATACATGCGTTCATATGTGTACAGATGGAAGCACACGAACGGTCACACAATGGCTTACGTATTTGCGAAAATTTCCGAGTCAGCGTATACCCTACCAATGTGTTCTAGCACATTTTGTGGTGCAAACTATGTGGTGCAATCCACTGTGCAGAACTTGAAGTCGTCATCTCCACTACTCGCGCAAACATCCCACCCACCCACCCGCAACTTGCTTTGCAAAACCTCTTAAGACCGACTACGACGACACCGACGACAACGACTACGACGACACCGACGACGTCTCCGACGTTTCCGACGACTTCGACGACAACAACGACGCCGACGCCGACGACGACGAAGACGACGACGACGACGCCAACGAAGGCGACGACGAGGGAGGAGGAAGTACAACGACGGCGACAAAGACGACAACAACGACGACAACAACGGCGACGACGCGAACGACGAAGAAGGAGGAAGGACGGCGACGCCGACGACGACAACGACGAGGGAGGAGGGAAGACGACGACGACAACGACGACGACGACGACGGCGACGAAATAGGAGGGACGACGACGAGACGCCGACGACGGACGACGACGACGACGAAGGAGGAGGAAGGACGACCACGGCGACAACGACGACGGAAACGACCACGACGCCAAAGAGGACGACGACGACGAACACGAGGAAAGACAGAGGACGACGTAGGCGACGACGACGACGACGACGACGCGGGAGGAGGGAGGACGGCGACGACGACGACGACGACGACGACGACGCAAGAGCGCGCGCGCACGCTTTTGTTGAAAATCCGTGTTGCGAAACCTTGGGTTTTTGTAGGTTTTTTGGACACGCGATTTCGAAATCCTTCCGAAACCGATGGGTTTTGAAGGTTTTCGGTATACGCCCGCGACGACGCGCGTGTCTGCACTTCGTCCCGTTTTTTTGCAGAGGATCCTCGCGACGGCACACGCGCAAGGGCGTTCGACAGATTTCGACATGCGCGCGCGACGCCCGTTCGGTAGCATTTGGTGAAAATCTTGAAAAACCGATGGTTTGCTTAAGATTTCGCAAGAGCTCGCGCGGAAGCTCTTTTAGCAAATCAATGTTGCGAAACCCTGTGTTTTTGAACGTTTTTTGGAAACTCCATTGCGAAATCTTTCCGGCACTGAGGTTTTTGAAGGATTTCGGCATGCGCGCGCGACGACGCGCGCGTGTGCACTTCGTTCCATGTCTTTTTGCAAGGGATTCGTGAAAAAGTGCTATGTTAGAACAAACAATGTCACCGCATAGTGTGTTTTCACAAGGCACCTTCAGAGGGGGGATACCGGTTGGCATTTGACATTCTGATTTCATATTTAGGATGGACATGTGGTCAGAATCATAAATGATTTACAGACCCGAAAGGGGGACCGATAACGCCAGGGGGGGGGGGTAGAGTCTATTCTGTTTTTAGAAAGGAGAATTCACTTGCCGAACTTGAAGTTGTCAACTCCACTGCTCGCGCAATCATCCCACACACCCACCCGCAACTTGGTTTGCAAAACCCATGCGGGAGCGATTGCGATGAGTGCTGGGTGTTGGCTGGTGCATCTCTGCCGCCGCGCTAGCCCGCGCATGCTCGCGCGCGCAGCGGCCAGCTAGTTTGGCGCGACCGACGCGAACGCGGTGGGGCTGACCGCTTGGCACGTCGCAGCGGACACTTCAGTGCGAGTCGGCGAATTGGGCGGGCGCGGTATCATGGCAACGTCGACAACGATAGACACGATGATGATAGTAGCGACGCGGGCGACGATGCTGAGA